AAAGCAGGCCCTATGGTCAAAACAAAACTAATGGTCTTCCACATTCCCAAATAAATGCGCTGCAGCAGTTCATGCTCTTTCCAAAATCAAAGTGCTTGCCTCATTCTTAGTCACTTGTCCCTTATTTAGGACTGTTCCTCATTCCTTAGGCTTGGGCGCCAGTGAGTCAGTTCTGATCCATAGCAACCTTATGCACAGCAGAAAGTCACACTGCCCGGCCCTGCGCTCCCCTCACAATTGTTCCCAGTGTGGGAACATGTAGTTTGAGCCCATCGTTGCAGTCACGGTGCCAGTTCATCTCCTTGAGGGCCTTCCTCTTTTCCCTGCCCCTCTACTCTACCGATCATGATGCCCTTCTCCAGGGACTGCTCTCAAAAACATGCCCAAAGCATTTAAGATGACGTCTTGCTGTCTTTGCCTGTTAGCAGCGCTCTGGCTGTACTTCTTCCAAGACTCCATGGTACTTTGAATATTCTTCTCCACCACCACAATTCAAATGTATTGATTCTTCTTCAGTCTTCTTTAACCACTGTCCAACTTTCACATGCTTATGGGCAACTGAAAATACCATGACTTGGGACAGGCACACCTTAGTCCTCAAGGTAACATCCTTGCTTTTCAAGACTCTAATAGGTCTCGTGCAGCATATTTACCTAATGCACCTTGTTTTTTGATCTCTTGACAGCAGCTTCCATTAAATATTGATTTGGGATCTAAAACAAGACAAGATCCTTGACAAATTAAACCTTTTCTCCATTTTTCATGCTGCTACATATTGGTCCAGTTGTGGGGATTTTAGTCTTCTTTACATTGAGTCTTAATTCATACTGAAAGTTGCAATCCTTGATCTTCATCAGCAAGTGCTTCAAGTCCTCATGACAGCAAGCAAGGTTGTGTCATCTGCATATCACAGGTTGTTATGAAGTCTTCCTCCAATCCTGATGCCATACTCTTCTTCATATAAGCCAGCTTCTCGGTTATTTGCTCAGCATATAGATTGAATGCATATGGTATTCACCTTTCCTGATCTCAGACCAGGCAGTATTCCCTTTCTGTTACCCTACTGCCTCTTAATCCAGGTACAAATTCTGAATGAGCACAATAAAGTGTTCTGGAATTCCCATGTTTCTCAAGGTTATTATTATGTATTTTTAATGACCCACAGTCTAATGCCTTGACAAAATCAATAAAGCACAAGTAAACATCTCTCTAGTATTCTCTGCTTTCAGCCAATCTGACATCAGTAACCTCTCTGGTTTCACGAAGCTGGCCTGTATGCTGCTCTTGGTCCCTGAAAACTCTGGCTCTGTGGCAGGCCCTCATTGCTTATAGGGCTTAACTTCTACTCTCTGCTAAGCATGCATTTTTAAGAGGATTGACCACATCCTTCTCATCAAGTCTGATTAGTATGACTGGAATCAATAAAGTGGACCAGCACGATGTTTCCACAGCGTCAAGATGATCAAGGTAGGCCAGCTGCCCCAACCAGAGGCACCCCACTTCACAGCCAGCCTCCTGCCCCAAAGCACTCAGCTTTAATTGCTCTGTGGCCTGCGAAGTTCCCTGCTCGTCTCACATTCTGCCTCCTGGTTCTGCTGCTCCTCTGAGGTCAAAGCTGTCTCCTGGATCAAAGAGGTTCAATGTGCAAGAATCCCGGCGGTCCAAAGGATGTGCTTCATTCCTGGCTCTTCTCTTGCTGGTAGTGATATACTCTTCCCCACCTTACTGCTTCTGAGGGGGCTGTTTATACCCAGCAGGATGACAATCACAATTAACCATTTGACAACCACTCAGAACTGAATCAGATAATGCATTCAGTGTATTTCCCTATTTACCCAGGCTCATCAGAATAATGAAGGTCTTTTAGTGGGAGTAACAAGTTAGAGGAGCCATACTGAATAATTCACTGCATTGCAAGTTGAAACTATCTATCGTGATAATTCACTGCATTGCAAGTTAAAACTATCTATTGTGACAATGTGTCTGTGCCTATTTCCTATTTAGTATTAAGAAATAGCTCCCCATGTATAGTATCTGAGATAGTTTATTGTGCCAGCCTGGCCGATAAACACAAGTGGGATTAACTGAAGGGCGGAGAGATGAATGGCTCGGTGAGCCTCGCCTTTCTTGTCTCTTGTTCTTTGATCATCGTACCAGTGTGCGGCTGCCTTGCTTGTTCTGTGCCTCAATTTATAGGCTACACTACCTGTGAGATGCCTAGCCTGTGGACTGTGTTGCTGTAAGTTGAGGTCCCTTTAAGACATCTCTGGAGGTGGGGACTGGCAGTTGGGACTGGAGGTTAGTTGACAGTTGGTGATCTGCCTTGTGATTGGCTGCTGTGCTGAGATAGCCTAGCTCTCTCTACAAATAGAGGGAGATCTGGCAGCAGACTAGACTTGAAGGACTGCTAGTCTCTCACAACACTCTCTCACGGGAGTGAGTTGCACTGAGCCATTTGTAGTGCTTTATAATTTAACTGTTCATTTCTTGTTATATATATAATTATCTTTATAAATAAATATATTAAATTATCAGCAATTTGGTTTTCTCTCTCTAGAGAACCCTAACAGTATCTCTTGTAGCTAAATCACTTCTCTTATTCTCATTCAGATGTCATCATACTTCCTGCTCCAGGTTTTATTCAGAAGTACAGCTTCTTAAGCAACACTTATTTTTTACACATCTGGAATAGCCCTAGTGGGCTCTTACATGTAGTGTTTATATGCTACCTGGAATATAGCAAACATTACCTAAAAGCTCCAGAAACACCCGAACTCATTACCATCAAGTCAATGGTGACTCTATAAGGACAGGGTAGAACTGTCCCTGTGGGTTTCTAACACTGCAAGTCTTTATGGGAACAGAAAACCTTATCTTTCTCCCAGGAAGCTAGTGGTTTCAAACTGATGACCTTACAGTTAGTAGTCTAACACATAACCATTATTCTACTGGCAATGGAAAAAAAATCAGGACAAAGCAGCAGTACTTAGAATGAAAGATTTATCGAGGAGCTGGTAAACAGTGTCAAATGGTATAGGCAAAGGAAACAGTCTGGAGCCGGGTATGGTAGTAAAGGTGGAAAGGAGCCCCGGAGGTGCGGTGAGCAAGCACTCTGCTGAGAACCACATGGCCTGTGGTTCAAACCTGGCAACCACCCTGTGGGAGGAAGAGGTGGTAGTCTGATTCTCAGGTAGAGCCTTGGAAAGGCTGGGGGACAGTTCTACAAGGGCCACTATGAGTTGGAATGGACTCAGTGGCAATGAATGTGGTTTGGTTTTGGTTTAATGAGGGTGGAAGCCAGATTTTAGTGGGTGGGAAGCAAAGAGTAAAACGGTGAGCATAACCTCGTTTTTCTAAGGAATTTGGTAGTAAAAGATGTACATCTGTTAGGGTTTTTTAATCTGCAAGTGACAGAAACCCAACGTGAACTAGTTTTTAAAAAGAACTTATTAGAATAATATGTGGTGTCTCAAAATCCAAAGTCAGTAATGTGTCTGGGTCTCAATAGCATGCAGACCAAGGGACCGGCAATACTCTTTGTTGCTGTTGCTCTCTGCGTTGCTTCGGTAGGCGTCTCCTTCCTGTGGAACGGGGGCACTTGGATCCACATGACAGGAAACACTTCTGTCGACAATTCCAGTACCTTGCAATTTACAGTTTAGATACCCAGAGGGGTCACCTACCTCCCCCCACGCCCACCCCCAAGTTCTAAAATTCCTAAGAAAGTATTCTGGTTCTGAATTACATGTCTAACTCTGGACCAATCAACTATAGCCTGGGGTTATAGAGGTGAGGGCATTATACTGTAATATGGCTGCTCCTACTGAAATTATCTGAGCACTTTCATGACAGGTATATGGTATATAGGTTTTTGATAGGTATAGGGTTCTTGACAAGTATATGGTATAAAGGTTTTTAGGTGTTTTATTTCCTGCAAGGCTCCAGAGGGATTTGAACAAGTTTATATGGATGGGAGGGATCAAAGGCATGGATTGAAACATATAGGAAAGCAATGAGACAGTGCACAGTGACAAGCTTAGTCGTTGAGAGAAATAGGCCTTTCTAGGATAAGAGGGAAGGAACAGGAATACATACCACATGAATACAGACCCTGGATTTCCAGAAGAACAAACAAACCCGTTTTGGAAGGACAGCCAGAAAGCTCCTTAGAAGCAAGAATGCTAAGACTTCGTCTCACATAATTTGGACGTGTTGTCAGGAGAGAGCAGTCCCTGGACAAGAACATCAAGCTTGGCAAAGTGGAGGGGCAGCAAAAAGCAGGAAGGCCCTCAACAAGACGGACTGACAGTGGCTGCAACAATGCACGCAAGCACAACTGTGAGGGTGGTGCAGAACCAGGCTATTTCCTACACAGTACAACTTTTGAGAATGTGGGATATGGAAGTAAATGGGGTGTTAAGAAATCAGTAAGGAAGTAATATGCAGGTAGTACCTGAGTTATGAATGAGATCCATTTCTAAGTGTGTCTTTAAGAATTTACGGGAAGCCAGACCAGGTGCCTACAATTCTGATTGCGCCTTACTCTGAGTTGGAGTGGACTTGAAGGCAACTGCTCTAGTTTGGGGGTGTAGTGCGAGAAAAGTTGTGAAGCCTTTGCAATGATCTTAAAAGCGGCATATGCAGCAAGTGAAGGTGATAGTGAGGAGCAGCTGGGGTTGGTTCAATTGCTTCAAAATGAAGGAATCGGGTGTTGAAAACCTGGAGAGTGTTTTAACTGCAACGAAGCAGGGAGAGAGCTGAAAGGAAGAGTATAAAGTTTGCCCGGAATTGTTCAAAGTCCAAATTAGATCAGGGAGCTATAAATTTATAAGGGTGCTACACATATCCTATAACTCTACTCATTAAAGTTAGTAATCCATGAACAATCACTGACAAGGCACTTGATAGAAAGAGAAGGGGCAAGGGAAAATAAAGGAACTGACTGACAACACTGCATCAACCCCTCTGGGATCAAACTCTGGCTCAAACCACTAGTAAGAAGCAGTCAATGGTAAACTTTATTCTACTCTTGACAAATAACCACAAGTTGTGAGTTAGTATTGTGCAAAGTGGCACTGCCAACAAATCGATGTCTTTAATGTTCAGCTATCAGAAAAGATTAACTTCATATTATTTTAGAAGGATATATTTAAATTCACTTCTAAACAAAAATATTTGGTACAGAAATAAAAAAAACCCTAAAAATCCGAAGAGATTTTCAAAGTTGAGGTCTTAAATATGTCATCTTAACTTTACTGCATTAATTCTATCATAGAGCTAACCATACATAAATGAATTAACTAACTCAAAGTCCACTTCTTTTCTTTTTAAAAAAATGACATACTGTTTAATGTAACCCCTGGTTGTAATGCACCACTTATTCAGATGAACACACCGCCATATTCCCCTCATCAAAGATAAGGACCACAACTAAGATGGGTGTGTTCTATAAACAGGATGAGGCAGAGTCCAGCAAATCAAGAGTAGATGGGAATTTGGACGTCTTCTGGTAATTTTTGTTCTCTTCCAAACACATCAGGAACTTTGCATCAGGTCTTATCTGTCATGTGTAGAGCCATCTGTGGGAGTAAGTGGAAGGAAGGATTGTTGTACTTTTCATTCTGGCTCCTCATTACATGTCTGTGTCAGGTAAGCTGGGCTGCTTCATTCCATTATCATTTAGGGACCCAATCCTTGTTGGTCTCCTTGTAGTAAACCAAGAAACCAGATTGCCAGGGAAGGTACCGTGGTCTAGAAGTTTGTCTGCTGGAACTATTTCAAAAGCTGCTGGACAACCTCCAAAGGTCCCTTTCACTTCAAAAACTCTCTTTTCATCAAGTCATGACTTATGCCCAGGTCTTGGGCAAAGCAATCCATGGCCATCCTGGGCTGTCAGAAGAACCATTAAACCCGAGTTGAAGTGGTTCATAAAGGATGCTTCTGGGATGGGAGGGTGGCAAGACAAAGTCCACTTCTGGATACTTATAACAAATCAATTTCTTGAGAACACATGCCTCGTATCATTGTGTTCAGAGAGTTTATCTGTAAACAGGAACAAAATCATTATCTATTTATAGCACTATTATGAGGATTGGAGAGCTAATATAACGAAGGCCTAGAGTACTGCCTGACAAATATTAAATATTCAACAAAAATAAACTATCATTAGTTCAATTATGAATTGTGGCAGAGTGATTTTTAAATTCATAGTTCTAATCTAAAAGGGAGAAAAAAGCAGCAAAAATATGGTAATCTCATTAAAAATAAAAATCACTCAAAGTACTTTAGCTTTTCAACAATGATTTTTAGATAAAGGTAACAGCAACTTTAAATACAAATTTACCTAAATGAACTTTCATTAAAAATATAATTAAGCTTCAGAATGAACAATTTTCTTTAAAAAAATTGAAATAAAAAATTTATTCAAAAGCAATAAAATAACAGCCTCTATGAAAGATGAGCTACTTATAAGTACACACAGCACAGTACCACAGAGTCCACTGCTCACCCCATGGACATCGTCTTTAATTATACATTTTCTCCCTGAAAATAAAGCAAATGACAAATTAATGTTTGAAATAACCTTACTTTGATTTTGCATCCAGAGTTTAACTTAAAGCAAGAGTACAAAAATATGGAGTCAATGACAATTATGAGTCAGAATAAGTCAGAATACCAAAAATATGAGTCAGAATAAGAATACCAATATAGTTACCTATTAACGATATCAGTATTTGTGTTACAACATGAAAAAGGGAGCTAAAAGGTGTGAAGCAAAGGTTTTTAGGTGTTTTATTTCCCGCAAGGCTCCAGAGGGATTTGAACAAGTTTATATGGATGGGAGGGATCAAAGGCATGGATTGAAACATATAGGAAAGCAGTGAGACAGTGCACAGTGACAAGCTTAGTCGTTGAGAGAAATGTTTCACAAGCCAGGTCTCGTGTTCTTTCTAGCGTAGCAGTGGTTTTTAAGACTGTACTTTGTGAGCGAGGCCGGAGAAGGTCAACTGATAACCCGAGCACAGCCCGGCAATGGTGCTTGCTTGATGCATCCACTGTTTAGAATGATGAGCTTCAAGTTCCTTTACAGATCAGCTATCCAAACCCAACCAAGGGGATGTGCACTCAAAAGGAGTGAAACTCTCACATTATGAGACTGAAACAAATGTAGCATCTAATGAGACCTTTAAACTAAGCTTAAACTTTAGTCACCATGACAATGCCAAAGAAAACAATTTTTCTAACAGCACAGATTAAATTTGAGCACAGCAGATAAAGAAAAACTGAAAATATTCTACTACAGTCAAATGTGGCAGTGAAAGAGTTAGGAGCATGACGGGTAAGTGCTGTACCACCATCACTACAATCAATTTAGACCATGTTCTTCAATCTTGTACTCATCATTCTTAGCTTCCCACAGCATCCCCGCCACACCCCCCAGGAACCAAATCCAGTCACTGTCTCTACTGACTTGCCTATCCTGGATTTCACAGACAGAAAAACATTAAAAACAAACAATACCAACAACTAAAATTAACGACAGCAAAGTATAACAGGTAAAAACCTCATTAGAAAATAGAAAATATTAAAAACTAGAACAAATTTAAAGGGATCTTAAGAAAGATAAATAATAGGGTGCTAGTTTTTAACCCAAATGTAACCCAACAATCCACTTTCCAATGTATTCTGCACGTTAGTTAGGGTGTTCATACCCTTGGCCATGTTCAGAGGGGATTCCCCAGGGACTTAATCCACATATATTTCTTTTCTTTCTTTTTGAACGGAAACTGCTTTAAAATGGATCTAAGGGGGGATCAGAGGATATTACATTTTGACCTAACTACATCTGCCATAATAGACTTCACAATGATTTCTGTCTGAGAATAGACTCACATCCCTCAACTGTGATTGGAAGGGATTCACCAGAGGCTATCTCAATGTTTTGGGCTTCCACTGTCGTCTATAACCTTCTGCAAAAAAGGTGTTCACAATTTAAGCTCTGATGCCATTTCCTCCTTTAGACTGGGTATTATTTACAATCCTTGGATCACACAGGCTGGTGTGCTTCTTCCATGTGGACTTAGTTGATGCCTCACTTAGATTGCTGTTTGTTTGAAAACAAGTCTTTAGGACTCCAGACACTACTCTTTCTCATGGCCACCACCATCTGATTTCTTCACACTTTGCTTCACACTGTAATCTCTAGTGATCTGTTCATGAGGTCAAGCATCAAACAAGGTCATGTAATAAGAACTAATTGTTCTTAAACTGGGGCTAGAATTTAGTGCAAGCCCCAAATCCATTCATATACCTATGGTTTATATATGGGTCTGGATAACCTTAGAGACAACACTGTCATTTTATGTTAACATTATCCATCATCCCCCTGGGCTCCCTCCCATTTTTCATACCACTCACTCCTGCCACCTCCCTGCGTCTCTCCTGTTCCCCTTATTATCTCATATTTTCACCTAGAGAATTTTTAAAAAAAATATTAGTTATACTTAATATATAAAGTTTTAAATGTTATTACCTCAAATATTAGATTTTTTATTTGGAATATAAAAAATGGGAAGTGAAAAATATTGTCACAAATTCATAGAAACCTTTATTAAACAAAACTTTAAAATGGTGAAGCAACTACCGTATACTCTCCAGTATAAGACGGGTTTTTCAGCACATTAAAAAAAAAGAAATCATTTAATGAGGGTTCGTACAGCTCTTATCACAATCCATACATATATCCATTGTGTCAAGCACATTTGTACATTCGTTGCCATCATCATTCCCAAAACATTTTCAGCACATTTTTTGTAATGGAAAATTTCTCACCAATGTAGTTTTCCATATTCTTAACCTCTTCATAATGAGGCCCTCTGATTATCCTGGATCCTTCAAGAAAGTCTACCAAGATTATTTTGGACTCTTCCTCCAAAAAGTTGCTATTCCTGAGCTGACCTCGTTGCCTTCATTTAACCGACCTAGCAGATACTCTTGGAAGCCACTATTTTAACTGAACTCTCTTTTTGCAGAAATCCTAATGAGATTAAGACAAGTGTAGCATAAAGAGAAACTTGTCTGCATGATCACAGAGACATGTATAAACATGTTTGGGTTGAAATATGCCTGTGCATGTGTGATCTGGACCCCTAGTAGAAATAGCTTTTTACTTTTTGATGAATTTTTGGTCTCTACATCTAAAGCTCACGTATTATTTTGGCTTTATCATACAACAGTAGCCTATTACAAAGAAGCTCTCGTGGCACAGTGGTTACGTGCTAAGCGGTTAACCAAAAGGCTGGCGAGCAAATTCACCAACTGCTCTGTAAGAGAAAGATGTTGCAGACTGTTTCCCTAAAGATTGACAGTCTTGGACACTCTCAGGGGCAGTTCTCTGACCGACAGGGGGCCTCGGAGTCAGAATGGCCTGGAGGACGAAGAGTTTTTAATCATCACAGAAAAGTAGATTTTCTCTGTGTCTTAGAAATGCTTAAAAAAAAAAAAAAAGAATTGCTTAAATTATATAGCCATTAATGAGCGGCAAAAACCAAAGATAACAAATACAAGAATGATATGGTAAACTTCATTTAAATGATATGAATTTTCCTCTAAGTGATAAAATAATATTAGAAACCTTCTAATGTATGAAATACATACCTGAGTTAAACCAGCCCCGGCTTTTATAGAAGATTTTTTTAATAGTCTCACTTCTTTGTTTATGTATTTTAGCATTCCACTAAGAGTACTAAAGTCATTGCTCTCATAACTGTCATCTTCTAGGTTATACATGAGTGGGTCATATGACTCTGACTGGTTACGAGTCAGTTCGTTCTTGCTTTCTTCTAATGTTGAAGGCTGTTCTAACTGCATTTTCTTTAAATCTTGTAATAATTCTTCAGAAAGATCTTCATCAATATAAGTTTTGAAACTTATATCACTGGCACTAATAGAGCGACGGAGTTTTTTACACTTGGAAAAAGACGAGTGAGCATGTTTTGCCATCTTTGGATCTTGAGTGTCTGGCATACTTTTGGCTGGCACTGAAAGAAAACTGATGCCTTCTGCCCTTTCATGTCCAGAAATTTTAGCTTGTAACCTTGTTAATTCTGATTCCTACAAAAAAAAAAAAAAAAAAAGGAACATAGTAAATGCTTAGTATATTTTTTGTTAAACAACTAAACGACCTATAAAATAATAGGCTCTTAGAAATCTTCTAAACAAACCTTTCTCTAACTACAGGAATTATTTTTTACAATATTCTTGAGCATTTTCAAAGGGCTGTTTAATTTTTGATAAATACATATGCTCATTTCAACTATGTCTATACTATGATAAGAAATTCCATAAAACTTCATTTTCTTTAAAGGATAAAAAACTTTTCAATGCTAACATCAATTTCTATTCAAGATTGAAATCTTACATCTAAAATTTCTTCTGAAAAAGTACAGATGTATATTTTGTTTAGTCTAATACCCTTACACAAACATGAAAAATAACTCCTCTCAGAATTTCTAATAGGAAATCAATGTACAGTCATTTTACATGTAGTCATTAGGATGAAACTTTACTGAGCTACAAATTTTTCTAAGAAAAGAGTTTTAAAAATTATTGATAATATTTCATAAATCCTTATTAAAATTTTAGTTTTTATTATTTCAATCTTGACTTTTTCCAACTTTGCTGTTGCACACACTGAAAAACATAAGTTTCAAAACACTGAAGAGATAATATTTTAATTTTAAAATCTAGTAATACAAGTGGGCTTCAAAGAAGTTATAGAAAAATTGAATGAAAGGAAAATGGAACTTTCCAAACTTTTTTTTTCTTTTCACTTTTTATTATTTTAGGCAAAGGTTTACAGTGCACATCGTCAATTGATGTTCAACAATTCATATATTTTGTTTCAACTCATTCATTGCAATCCTCTCAATATACTCTCACTTATCCTACTTCCTTTCTGTGTTTCTGTTCTCTCTTCTTCCCTAATTCTCCGATCTTGTCCTTGGATAAATGATGTTCTTTTATTTAGCATGGGTGTGAGTTCAGTTACAGAATTATCATCTTGAGGGTTTCACTGGTCTCTATTCAACCAGTAAGCCTGGTCTCTTTTATGGTTTTGGTCCACATTTTCCTCCCACACTATCCAGGACCATCTAATGTGATGCTTTGCAGAGCAGTTGGGAGTGGTAGCCAGGTACCTCTAATTGTTCTGCTCACAGAATTGTGAAGACTAATGTTTGCATGGTCCATTGGCTGACTGGACTGTTTCCATGTCTTTCCATTTTCATTACTCTTCTTTCTTCTGGACAGGGAGAAACCAATAGGTGTACCTTAGATGGTTGCTCACCAAGTTTTCAAGACTCTGGCCACTACTTACCAAAGTAGGATGAGGAACACTGTCTTTGTGAGCCACATTATGCCAAATGACTTTTGTGTCCCCCAAGACTGCTCTTGAACCCTGAGGGCCAGCAATGCATTCCCTCAGTAAATGTGGTAATGTTTAAGAAGTGTTCATATTTTCCTTCGTGTATACTCCACATTCATGCATTTGTGGCAGTGGTAAATACATATACACATAAAACTTCCCTCCTACATCTCTGTTCCGTGTGTCTATCCAAGCATCACTTGTAAATCACTACTATTGAAGACTGTGTATGTAAGCAGTTATTTGCCTCTATTGCCTTTAATTCTTGCAAATTTCCCCTGCCTCCAACATTTTTGCCAACTCCTTTCTTATTGTATATTGCTTTCCCCTTCACTCAAGTTAACATTTGCCTATTTTCTAGCACATCATATCCTTTCCCCCTGGAATTCCCCCTCTCATCCCTGATAACCATCAAAGAATATTTCTTTTGGTTGGAAAATCTTGTCTTGACTTTTTATAATAACAGTCTCATATTTATCCTTTTGTGATTGACCAATTTCACTCGGCATAATATCCTTCAGGTTCATCCATGTTATGTGTTGTAGATTTGTTATCCTTTATTGTTGCAGTTTTCTACTGTGTGTATGTACCAAAGTTTATTTCTCCATTCTTCCACTGTTAGCCACGTTGGCTGTTTCCATCTTTTTGTATTGTGCAGAGATATATATAAGTGTTTAAGTAGAGACAGCTGGGTCATAATGGTATTTCCATTCTCAATTTGTTGAGGAAGTGCTGTATGGCTTTCCTCAGGACTTGCAGCATCTTATTAGCATACACTAGCAGTGTATGATGGTTCCAGGTTGTCCGTACCCTTTCCAACATTTTCTTTTAATATAGTGTGAGTTTTGGTTCCTGTTTAATTCTTCTGAAAATCTAATTTTTCCAGGATCATTTGTTAAAGAGACCATTCCTTCCTTATTTAACGTGTTTTGGCCATTTGTCAAATCCATCCACCTGTCTGGAGGTGGATGGATTTACTTCTAGGTTTTCAGTTCTGTTCCATTGGTCTATTTATCTACCATTGCACCACTACCAGGATGTTTTCAATGCCATGCATGTGTAGTAGGTTTTGAGACTGGGAAGTGCGATGTGCCTAATTTGTTTTTTAATAGTGCTTTACTTTTCTGGAGTCTCTTTACTACTTTAAATAGATTTTTTTTCCATCTCTTTAAAGAATGGTGTTGGAATCTGTATCAAGATTGCACTATATCTATAGATCCCTTTGGACAGAATTAATCTTTTAAATGTTGTCTTCCTATCAATGAGCTTCTATTGATGTAAGTCTCTTGATGTCCTGTAGTAGTGTGTGTAGTTTGCTTTGCACAGATCTTTTGTTTCTTTGATTAAATTTATTCCAAAATACTTTACCTATCAGGTGGCTATTGTAAATGGTATTATTTTCTTTATTTCATTTTCAGAGTTCTGTTTAGTATAAAGAAATAAAAATGATTTTTACATACTGATTTGGTACCCAACTACTTTGCTAAGTCAATTAGCTCTAATAATTTTCTTGCTGAGAGTTTGGAATTTTCTATGTATGGGATCATATCATCTGTAAATAGCTGTATTTCTTCTTTGCCAATTTGTTATCTTTCATTTCCCTCTGTTGCTTGATAGTCATGGCTAATACTTACAGCACCATACTGAATAGGAGTGATGATCAACGGCATCCTTGTCTGGTTCCTGACTGCAAAGGGAATGTTGTCAGTTTCTCTCCATTGAGAGTTTTAACACTGGCCATTGATTTTACAGAGATACCCTTTATTATACGGAAGAATTTACCTTCTCCTCCTATTTGTAATGTCTTTTCTGTATCAGATGATATGATCATGTGGCTCTTTCTCTTGCTTAATTATGTGATGGATCACATTGGGTTTTTTTCATTGTTAAAAAAATTGTTTTGCTATTGTTGAACCATCCTTATATATCTGGTATGAATACCACTCATGATAAATTCTTTTGGAGGGTACCGTATACACTTGAGTTTAAGCCAACCTGAATTATCAGCCAAGGCACCTAATTTTACCACAAAACTGCATTAAAAATATGCTGAAAAACTCGGCTTATGCACGAGTATATAGGGTATATTGTTGGACTGAACTAGCTAGCATTTCGTTGAAAACTTTTACATCTAAGTTCATGATATTGGTCATGACATTGACCATGAAAAGAAAATTACTGACCAATAGCCAAATAGCATGAATTTAGATGCAAAACTTTTATCATGACCAATATCTCAATATCATGACTAATACCACAATATTGGGATATTGGTCAATAATTTTCTTTTTTTAGTGATATTTCTCTCTGGTTTTTGAATCAGGCTTCTATGCTCTTCGTAAGTGAATTCGAGAGGTTTTTTTTTTAATCCCTTTCAGAATCGTCTGAGTAGGATTTGTGTCTTTTCTGAGTGTCTGGTACAATTCACTAGTGACAGTGAATGGGTCTGGACTTTTTTTTATTGAGAGTTTTCTAATGACCTGATTAATTTCTCCTTTTGCTGTGTATCTCTTCTGGCTTTCTACTTCAGTATGTGTTAGTTTAGACAGGCAGCGCATTTTTGATGATTTGTCCATTTCTTCTAGGGTTTCAAATCTGTTGGAGCGTAGCTATTCACAGTATTATATTACAGTTTATTTGGTTCTATTTGGACATGCCCATTTCATTTATTTGTGTTATTCATATCTTCTTTTCCTTTGTTAGATTTGCCAGTAGTTTGTGAATTTTAAAAAAAAATCATTTTATTGGGGGCTCTTACAGCTCTTATTATAGTCCATCCATCCATTGTGTCAAGTACATTTGTATGTTACCATCATCTTTTTCAAAACATTTTCTTTATACTTGAGCCCTTGATAGCAGCTCATTTTTTTCACCCATGTCTTAACACCATCTGACATCTTCCTTCACCTCTTTTCTGTTGTCCGTCCCCCACAGAGGAGGTAAGTCTTCTGTAATGTGCTTCAATCTATCCATTTTCTGCTTCTCTTCTTTCATGTTTATCTTTTATTAATCCTTTCTAGTGAAATTTTCACTTCAGATACTGCATTTTTTGTCTCTAGAATCTCCATATTTTTCTTTTCTTTTTTTAATCGTTTTGTTAGAGGCTCATACAACTCTTATCACAATCCATACATAC